GAAAAAGAGAACACAAAGACATTTTATCAGCGTTATTGCTGAGCCAGCGTGGTTGTTTAGCGATAATTACTCGAGAAGCCGTACTTGTCGTAATTTTTTATACTGTAACATTTTGTTGCGTGGAATACGAAAAATGACTTTAGTGAAGTCGACAGTGCAATCGTTACGAGTTTTATGCGTTAATTTAAGAGGATCGAATTAGAGATAACAGGCAAAAAAATGATGATGTTTATCTCGCTTTATATGAGAGTGAGAGTGGGAACGGGAGTATGTGCATGTGTGTGCGCGCGCGTGTGTGCGTATGTGTGCGTGAGAAAGAGAGAAAGGATGTGCGAGAGAAAGGGAAAAGGAAAAGGAGAAGCGTTGTTTCTCTACGCGAGAATATGTATCATTATCGAAGGGATTCGCTATCTCTATTAATAACGGAGAACGTTGTTCGGAGTTGTTAACTTATTTTGACGCTTATCATTTCCATGCCACTGATCGTTGCTCGTTGATAAACTCTCTGTTTTCTTGAGAATTGGTATCGTTTGCCTGGCAATGTTAATACATATCAAGCGGTCTCGTCTGGTGACAAATGATATCACTACCGCGCGGAGTAAATGAAACGGCAATGATCAACGGAGCAACGCGAACAGACGGTCGGCTCTCGTCTCGCAACGTGCAATCTACCTTTAGAAAGTAAACTCCAGTTTTGGTTAGATTAGGCGAATGCATAGGCAGCTTCTAAACAGACAGCTAGCGGGATTAGTAATAAATAAAGTTGATGGGGATAGCGAGTCCTTTCAAAGAGATTATTATGTTTTGTTGTAAATTGATGAATTGTTTTTTGACGAGTACACGTGTAAATACAATTTATGTGCTGTAAGATCCACCTGTTGAATATTTCTATTCATAATTTTTCGGAAGTTTCTACGAAGTTTATTTTCGTTGAAAGGACATTGTAAGGCAGTGACTTAAACACTAAAATATACGCATAACATCTTCATCTTGATAAAAACGAAACTTTGTGATTCTTGCAGTTCACCCTGGACAGTTCGGTTGAAAGTTTAATCGTGATTACAGTCGGTCAACATTGTTTAAATAATCATCGATACGTTGGTCTTGTTCGCCTTCAGAAGTTGAAGCATCTTTTCGAAATATGACCTATATAAACGTAATAGCTTTACCCTTTGCGATTGTTATCATAGAATTGGCTAATTTTATTTCGCTTGACGTACCATGTTTTTCTTTTAATAAATTTAATTATTCGCGTCACTTGGAACGATATCAACAATTTCTAATAATAAACACCGAAAGTACTTAAAATTGGATGAAAATCAGCTTTTGCCAAACAGCGATGTTCTGTCTATAAATATATTTGTAAAAAAGAATTACGTGCACGAAACAGTCTGCGCAGGAAAAATGGGTAATTGCACGAGTTATTGAAATTCTAAGAATAGACGAACGCGGTGCACCCGAAAATTTGCCTTACAAAATTGTTCTTCAAAAACATGTACATAAAAAGATAAGTTCAGGTGTAACGATTACAAGACTGATGATAAATCTGCTTCTTCTACTCTATTGTTCGAGCATAAAATGGACTCGAATCAAAGTGCATAGATATATCCATAGATGTTCGCATTCCACTATTCTTCATTTAAAAGTCCATAATGTAATGTAAAAAATAAAAAAAATACACCTGAATCTTCATAAATATTGCAAATTGTTAATCATTTTATTATTATAGTATTCTCTTGCTTTTACTCCTATTATATAAATAATTATTATTTATAAATTCGTCATAAAGTATTTTAAAACATTGAATGAACAGAAGAAAAATAATACCTTTTTTAATAAAAACAAAAAAACACCTTATTATTTAAAGAAATAAAAAAATTAATTTTATATAAGTAATATGAAAGGGAAATATAATTTATTCATATAAAATGAACGTTGAATTGAATTTGTTTTTGCCAAATGGTTCTTATTGTTTGCTAGTAAACAATTTGATGCGCCAGACAACATGAATTTATTCAATCGTATATAAATACGTATACAGAATATTTGCAAAATCGTGATGCAAATGGGAGGAGAATTATTTTCTATGAAAACTTAAATAAAATATATAGAATAGTATTGTTCATGCGATACTTCATTTTTGAGATAGTCGTATTTGAATATTTATCGAGCGTGCGTGTTATTTAATAAGAATTGTCTAAATTACTATTTCCCCTTTTTTTAAATAGCAACATTCTAGAAAGATTTCCAAAATCAATTATTTCATAAATGAATTAGAAATATTTATTTCATGATTTCAATTTGTTTTTGCACGTACGTACATTCAATTCCTTCCCGGTTGTGTTACGATTTCGAAAACCTCCTATATTATATATTTACAAGTATCGTTGCGCTCTCTGGCGTTGAAACAGTAAATTACGCAATCTAAAAATCAGATGGTTAATTAGGCACTCACATTATTATATGTTGTATTTCAAACTAAAAACTTTCCCTTTGATTTTATAAGGTAGATTATTGTAATCAGTATAGGTAGCTAATTATTCATTAATATACATATTTTTCAAAATTATTTTTATGATTATTTACATAAATAATCATAAGTAATAGGATATATACAAAATTAATCATAGTTTATATAATACTTACGTTCAGAATCAGATGTCATAATGTAACATAGAATCTATACATAGAATTTGTAAGTACTTTTACGGTATGATTTAACCTTACCATACAAGGGATATAATAACCTCCTATTAATCTTAAAATGATCTGAAAGCATCTGAAATCATAGAATTTATGTCATCTTAATACTTCTATGAATGCTTCACTTGCACGCAGGTACAAGATCGACATAAAGTAAAACGAACTGTTATAAACATAATTTTTGATAAAGCATCAGTGATTTATTGTTTCTGAGAAACTTTCAAAAAATATCAAAACGTCATCCATCTTAAATAATTATTTCATTGTACATATAAAGCAATACTATTTAAACGATCTGTAGAAAGATATATAATATATGTGTATCCTTTCTTTCGTATGAAAATATATTCTTAAGTTCTATCACAATGAAATAGCAAAACAATACACATACAAAAATGTTAGGTTAGGTTTTCCACTGATTAAAAGTACTCATTCCAACCATAACCTCTTATTCGAGATCGATGTTCGATATATTGACCTCGAGTCGACAAGCTCAATCGTCATTGGAGCTCCTTGTTCGTCTTTGTAGTGCTTTCCGCAGATACGCGCCTATATAAGAGATGAGACATCCAAATTCAAAAACAGACGGCAAGTGTAACAAGTTCGAGACGATACGCAAGAGATTGTTTGTAATAACGAACGCCTGTTTACCTACAAAGTGCAAAGTCGTGGGTACGAGCTGAGGTCATGATTTTACGACTTGCGATTTTCGTTGCTCTGTTGAGCTTGGCAATTGAGGCTCAAAAGCAACTACAAACTTCGGAAGAGCAAGAACAATGGAAAGAATTCGAAGAGTTCCTCGAGTGGAAGAAATCAAAACGGATAGGCGAGGATCGGTCTTATGAAAAGAAATACAAGAAACAATACTACGAAAACCGTAATGCGGATAAAGTTTACGACAGCAATGAGCAGATACCCAACGCTAACCCACCACCAATCGATCAAGCTGCTCTAATGGCAAGATACATTGTCAATCAAGCTGGTAAGAAAAATACACCTACGGTAAACATTAGTTTTGCGATAGAGGTCATCGTTAGTATCATCGTTCTGCTTATCTCAGAACAATTGAAATGATTTCAAATTAAATAATGTGGAAAATTAAAAAAAATAGATTACCCCGAAATATGAAATGCATATTTCTAAACTGTGGAAATCGGTGAGTGTGCATGAATTGCATGACTGCCCACACGCTGATAGTCATGAATACGCGTTTCCGCAGCTTGCTGTGTACGTATATTCGCTATATGCACATTTGATATACATTACTTCACGTCACTCTAAAATTAATGTATTGGATTCGTGTGCACCGTGTTGGCGCTAAGCCAAATTTAAATCGCAGTGCTTATCGTTACTTACAATTACTTAATTACATTGTTTCTTCTAATTAAAAGCAAGTGTTCACTTATCATCAAAGAGAGGCGACTTAAATTATACTGTAGATTACAGTCGCGCAGATGTCCATGTAATTTAGACGATTATTTTTTAATAATTGCTATTATCAAGTAATGTAACTGATGCTCTATAGTTTTAAGTCCAATTTTAGATAGGGCATTGATCGATAAGTAGTCAATAATATCGATGTTCCAATGTGGTTATCAGCTTACGAAAACACTCGGATTAAATTATCGACCACTTATAAATTTCACACGAATCAGAAACTCTATTGTTATGTTACGAAATTCGCATGTTTAATGCGCTAATATTTCATTCGCACCGTGATCTACATGATTCTTCAAGTAAACAGTTATATTTTGCCTTTTGACTGAAATCCAATTTACATATAATATTTAAATTTTCGAATGCTTAGACAGGTGTATGTCCCTTTAGAATAACATGACAAAACTAAAATATTAACAAACTTTTATGTATATATGTATATATGTCACATATATGTATATACCTTCGTTTACTTCATATATCTGTACATGCACGCATATTTACACTTATTTTTATGCAATTAACAATTTTAAGCAAATACATTATATTGAAATTAAAAAATTTTGTGTAATAACTTTCTAATTTATGTATTTTAATATTGCTCTCTAGTGTTTTTCTTTAAACACTTGTTTTCTTCTGCTATAATTTCAGTATAATAATTATAAGTAAAAATATGTTGATAGTTACAATCAAATTTTGTAAATATCGAAGTTTTTTTCGGCTTATCTAGAAGATACTTAGCCGTGGCCACATACGTATCAACATTGTTTTCACAAGAAAAGGAGAATTCGGACGGAACGATATTTAGCACATTATGGAGCAATAATAATTCTGTCATCAATACATTTTGACCCAGTCAAAATTTTTACCTAATATTACAAATTCAATGACATGATTTCATAATATAAAGAAAAACTATGTAATATAACGTTCAAACGGTTAAGGCGAAAAATAAATTCATTAATTTATTTTCTATTCCATTAATACTTTTGAATGATTTTCGTATTCGAAAAATCAATTCGATTAACACGAATATTATAATAAAAAGAAAAAACGCTGTGGTTTTATGTCACAATCCAATAATTCACGATTTTTTAAAATACTTGTACATACAGATTCGCTGTACTTCTTTCATTTACAAATGTTTTACCAAATCAGATGATACAGTAGGAAGAAGAATAAATAAATAATCATTATCTTTCTTTATTTTCTTACTGATATGGTAGACGGTATTAACGTTTGCATTCCAATCCTGTAATGCAATTAGATACTACCTCACTTGATAATATTTAACTATAACCAGCAATTTTCATTGCTCAGATTGGGTGTCCGTGGCAACTATAAGCACGCGGAAGGAAATCGAGTCGTATCCCGCTGTAACCTTAGTCTCGTACAGCGACGGTAAATTAGGAAATGGATCAGGCATTCCATATCTTTACCTCACTCCTCTGGACTTCACGGCCCAAGATCTTGCAGTAAGTATTTATAATTTTTTAGTGTTCGCTACCTTTGATAAGATAGTGACTAATGTTAGATTAAGTACCTTATTATTTTAATCGATATCTACAGAATCTCAGTTAACTTTCTTATCGTCACGTACAACACAAAGTCAGATTTGAATCGTAATCGATCCTGTAATCACATTAATTTATTCTGTCTATTACTATGTTGATTTGAAAATAATTCCCTAATCGCAGAAAGACAATCGAGCGTCAATGATGATGACATTGGCTCAGGGAAGCTACTGTAAATCTAAACAATGGGACCCGATGGATCCTCGATGCGCCAGAATACTTTTGAGTGGTAAAATTAAAACGGTTAGTCAGCAAAAATTGTTTGCCTTGTTAATATTATCGGCGAAGTTCTTTATTATTGAACTAATAATTATGTTTATAGTTGAGAAACGATAGCATGGAACTCGACACTGCCAAACGCGTTTTCTTTGATCGTCATCCTAAACTGGTTAACATGCCAGCAAGTAAGAATCTTTCTTAATTAATTTGAAGTTATAACAATCGCTTTAATATGAATAAAAATGTTTACACTGTACAATTGCAGATCACAACTTCTATTTTGCCAAACTGAAGATATCATCGATCGCGGTGTTGGATACTTTCGGTGGGCCGAAATACATCAATGTAAAGGATTACTTGCACCCACCAATTGACAACATTACGGAAGAATTTAACCGCCTCTTTCCTTTGCAATCCTACGAGAGTGATTCACGGCAAGAATACGTATCAGTTACCAACTTTTTAAATCCTGTAGTCCGCACTGTCTAAAGCAAAATAGTATTGCTAATAGACAAATTCTTGTATATGTAAATTAAATGTGATTTCAGTTTTATACATTTATGAATATTTTAATATATTCTTCACAATTATTCATTATATAGATTGTCATTTGAACATAAAAATGCACAAAATATCTGTAATAAATTTTAAAGCTAATTTTAATTAATTTTACAAATTCTAATTTATTTCCTCATTCCTTATGTTTATCTAATCTGAAGAAAAGTTACAGTTATTATCATCTATTATTTTTATAGCGTATTATTTTGAAGTAGTATATCATCAAGGAAATTAGGGGTAAATAAAAATGTAATTGTTAATATTGTTACAAGATTATTTATTTTATGCTTTCTTCTTTCATTTAAAAATTGTTTTGAAAAAATAAATACCAATTTATGAGAAATACAAGTTTGATTGTATTTAAGGTAATTTAATACTATAGTTATATACATTTTTATAATGTAACAAGTACGTGTTTTTAAAGTATAAGGAAATAAAATATTGCATATTTTTTAAATACAAAAAAGCATAAATTACAATAGTTTTTGTAATTTTAACATACAAATTACGATGTAAAAAATTGCATTCTTATATACATTCTATATAATTTACATAAAATATGGTAGTTTTATTATATATTAACATTTATTTTAAGGACTTATATTTTTTAAAAAGTCATAATTTCGTTATATTTAATAGATACTATTAATGTACAATACCTACAAAAGTAAATTATTATTACAAAACATTTTATAATTCAAGTTAGCTATGTCTTTTTTATATTTTGTGTGCTTTTGCCATGAACAAGACTGGATGAACTCAATATGACAGAAATTTGTTCTGGTAGTGGACAAGCAATTAGAAGAAGCTCTTCTGCATTATAATATTTACCCAATATCTGATATAATTGTGTAAATGCAGCACATACATTATTTTTTATGGGTCTAAAAAGGATAAACTCTGTTTCCTTATTGGACAGATATAACTGCATTAACTGTTGAATTTCAGGACATTTGAATTTAATTATCCTTAATACGTCGCTAATTATTGCAGCAACTTCTTGTGGACTTCCAAGACTATGTCCTTGAGGTTTATCTGAATTGTTAGTATTAACAATCAATTTTTCCTTATCCAGTAATTTTAAGATTGGATGTATCAATAAAAATGTTGCGTGCTGTATAAGGCGTTGACAAGTATACTTTAATTTATTATCTACATGTTTTCTGGAGTCTATTAACTGTTCCTTCATTTGCGGTGCACCTTCTAATAAAAACTCTAACAATGCATTATTTGAAAGCGTAAAAAGTCTGGAACTTTTTTCTAATAAACCAAATGCTGCAGTTTTAACTTTAGAAAAATCCAGACTGTACTCCTTTATAGTGAAATCTACTTGAAATGGTGCAATTTGTTCACGTAATATCAACAAATGTTTTATTTGGAAAAGTTCTGCATCTAAAGTTGATGCCCGTTTCTCAATTTCTTGTCTTGCATTTTCTATACTTTGAACACAAAGTGATATTGCTTCTTGACTCAGAGACTGAAAGACAGATCTATCCACGCATCTGTATAATCTTGATAAACAAACTAATGTTCTACGAACAGTAGGATACCACATTCCATGAAGATCTGCTGGTGAATTTCCCATATGTGTCTTTTGATAAATAGAATCCATTACAATATGGTTTCTAGAAACAGGTTCAATCATATTATCATCAATAGATGACACAGATATCTTTTTCATTTTTGTTTGTCGTGTTTCTTCTCTTATGGATTCTGCTATATCCTCCATCATTTTTAATTTCTCTGGGTATGCTAAATCACCTGGTGACGGATTATAATTCAAAACATCGGACTGTAAGTAAAGATGTGCACGAAAAACAAGCCTCTCCTGTACATCATGCAACAATTGTAGGCAGATATTTCCAAATCCTTCTAAAGGCTCGAAATTGTTTTGCACATGCTCATCCAACATTTCAATTCTTAAAATACAGCAAATTTCAGCCAATGTTTCTAAATGATTAATATGAATAATAAATGGTCTTAGCATATCGTACAAGGATGTACACAAGCTTTCTAGATATGCTGTTAATCCATTAGATGGCTTAGAAAAAAATTCATAAAATAATTTGTATTCATCCATTGATGCATGTAATAACAATGCACAAGAATTCCGTACCAAACTACAATGGTCACCATTGTACTTTTCCTTAACAGACAATAAGGACTTTTGTACACTGGAACCTAAAACTAATCCTCTTTGGCTCCAATAATATTGATGACACTCTGTCAATAAACTATCATATTCTTGTCGTTTATATGATTTTACTTCTATTTGTTCTATGACAGGTTTAACTTTTGATAAAATTGTTTGGAATCTTCCATAGAAAAGTGCTAACGCAGCATCAGCGTTATCTTGGGAGTCATTGTTATCTCTCAAATTTAAGATACTTTCTGTAGTTTTAGTAAATAGGCTAAATATATAATTTTGTATCATAGATATTGCCTTGGACTGACAATGTTTATATTTAATTAAATATGTATTACTTTCTTTAAATGATGGATTACTCTGCACAAAATCTATATTTATATCAATTTTATCTAATATATTAAAGAACATCTCACTGTTTACTGATAATGTTGGTGCTTCTAATTTTTCCATCATTAAATCAATATCTTTGAAATATTTTACATACTCAGTGATATTTTCTATAGTAGAATTTAATTTTCTCTGGTCAGAATCAAGTTGTTCGCTAGCATTATAAAGAGAAGTAGTTTTATCAGAAACTTCTGAGTATTGTTTGAATAAAGTTGTAAAGTCTTCCATTGCCTCTTCAATCTGGTGGCAAAGTTCATGACATTCATGTCGTCGAGCTTCAAGCTCATTAAGATATAATATGTATTTTATGTCCTTCCTGTCCATACATTCTTTCTCTAATGAAGAATAATGTTCTAAGAGGTCTTGATACTGTTCTATTTGTACTGACCTTTCATCTTCTTTACTTGTGCTTGCAGTGTCTTTTTTCTCATCACTTTTAAACGTATTTTCGAAAGACAGTTCTTCTTCTAAGCTTAACAAACAATCCTTTTGTTGTTCAGTTAACGGTGCCAGCGGGTCCTCTGATAAATCCCATTTGGTTAAGTTAATCGAAATATTTTTTATTTTAGACATGATTTCTTGACAGTAGAAACAACCGTTATGAAACCGACATTTTTGAAGAAAGTAACAGATCAGTGTGTACTATAAACATGCCGCTTTGTAATATAAGTTACAAAATTTACTTCAAAAAACTGACACCGCAGCAATTATGAACCATAACCGTGAAGTTATATGATATAAAAATTATATTGCAGTCTGACCACTGCAGGATCTGAAATATCAAAATTGAAACTAAACTAGTAGTTTTTTATAGACAAATATTTATAATTTATTTCTTTACGATTTGTAGTGGTATTGTTTTATTGTATCGCAATAGCAATATTTGTTAAGGAAATGTGTGTTTTAAATTGAATGACTATTAGGTAATTTTGTTTTCTCACAAAACTCATTAATCAATTAAATGCTTTTCCAAATTAAGTTCAATTCATATGTATGTTTCATTTCTAGTTATTATATTTAATGGTATTTTAAGAAATAGAGAATTGAACGAAATAAATTGAAAATAAAGTAAACGTTTGATTAGAAATAATAATATTAATAAAGAAATGATCTGCATGTTTATATTTTAGATATGATTTACAAAATAGACACTTTTTATAATTTATTTTGAGAAAGAATGAAATAAATAGTTTTTAAATTGTTTAATACTAGTCATAATTTTTTATACAAATTTTCCACGTTTAAATAATACAGATATGAATTATTTAAATAATACGAAATTTATCACCTTCGTTGTATATCAGATGCGTTAAACTCGTGGCGCATGCGCATAAAGCATAAGTAACAAATTTCCATTGAAAACAGGATCGTATTTCCTTTTGTGCGTGTATTCGAACTGTAAAGGTTTGTGTTAAATTGTATCGTTAAATATTCTTGTGATCTTTACAAAACAAAAACATTTTTGCAGTGATGTATACTCTTATAAATTATTGCAATATAAAATACGCAATATTATCGTGCAATATGAATTTTGTTTTACTTAATGCAGTTTTGTAATCTAACCTCTAAAACGTAATGTGTTATTTTTCCAGGATGGCACCAAGGTACGAATTAGCAGTTGGTCTTAATAAAGGCCACAAGACCACTAAAATTCGCGTGGCAAAAAATGCAAGCGAAAAGAGCAAGACGGTGTGCGTTTTGCCCTCCAGATTCAAAGGGGTTAGTATTTTACAATTTATTGTAAATATTGAAATTTTAAAGTTGTATTTATAATTTAAAAGTTTGTAAACTAGATTTATAATGTTTATATTTGAAATTGATCAGCTGTTGTAGTTATAAAAAGTTATATGTCAAAAAGTTATATTTTCTTTTATTTCATTATATTTTCTTCTGTTTATGTGTATTTATATATTGAATTATAATATCGTTTTTAATAAAAGTAGCATTATTACAATAACCATTAAGTTTACATAACTGTCATTTTAGAGACAAAACAAGCATATCAAATTTGTCAGAGACTTAATTCGTGAAGTTACTGGACATGCTCCGTATGAAAAACGTGCTATGGAATTGTTGAAAGTTTCCAAAGATAAGCGTGCATTGAAGTTTTTAAAGAGAAGGGTAAGATTTTAAACATTAAAATTAAAATTAAAAAGTATATAAATAAAATATTTAATGCTTTTATGTATATTTAATTTTATAGCTGGGCACACACATTAGAGCTAAAAGGAAACGTGAAGAACTTGGAAACATCCTTGTCCAGATGAGGAAAGCAGCTGCTCATCATTAAATAACACATTATTAAATTTTTATAATATTACATATTAATAAAAATATATGTAAAACATGCATTGTTTTGTATAAAGCACCTTTGATATATGTTTATGTTTTCAAGTAGTTACAAACTTTCAAACTGTCATATAAAATAATTTCAAGAATAATATTTAAGACAAGAAAATTTTATTTCATATTTTTATTATTCTTGAATTTTAATATTATTCCACATAAATAATAAATATCACTAAATGATAATCATGTAAATATAGAAAATTATACCTCAATATAATATCAAAGTTAACGAAATTATGTATGGTATCTGTTTGAAATGTATGTAGATTTCATCCATTACTGTTTAGGAATCACTGATGGTGACATGTTTGAACTATTCGTGATTTTTTCTGAAAATAAGGAAAGTACAGATACGGAATAAAATTTAATTACACATTATTCGTATTTATAATTTGTATTTATATGTTTATGATAAATTTTCATACTGAGATAAAATCCAGCGAACCTATCAGTAATTTCACATCAAATAACCTAAATGTTTCTAAGCATATCATTTAAGTAAATATAAAAAAATTCCAATGAATCTTTAGATTATCTTTATTATTGTTTAAAAAATATGGTATAAAATAAAGTATTTTATATCGATATATTCTCCGACAATTTGTTTTATTAATACATAACTGTACTTTATATTGAGAGACTATTTATACGGTATATGTTAACTATGAACAGCAAAGGTTTTATATTACATTCATTAAAACAATTTAAACCATACCTGACGAATTGTAATTTAACAAAAAAGTGCTTTAATGAAACATGTTTCATTCAATGTAAAAATATATTTTCTCATGATGTCCAATGTCAAACAGCGGATATAAGTGCAATTGAACCAAAATCTTTCAAAGAAATCAGTCAGAAGACTGATTTGAAACAATTCAGACATTTATCAAAAAATGGGCCTTCATTGAAAGATTTTATAGTGTCTGATACTATACCTTCCGTTGATTCTATCAATTTACCAAATATTCCTTATGTAAAAGATATTAATGGTAATGGTCAAAAAGGTAAATTATAACATTTTAATATTTATTTTATTTGATGCACATAATAGTATCTAATTCTGTTGTTATTATTTTAGTATATTTCTGTGTTCATGGTTGTCAAATGAATGTTAATGACACAGAAATAATTTGGTCTATTTTAAAGTCGCATGGTTATGAAAAAGTAGATGCTCTAGAAGATGCAAATATTGTTTTGCTTGTTACATGTTCTATCAGAGATGGAGCAGAAAATAAAATATGGACCAAATTAAATTCTTTTAATTCTCTTAACAAAAAGTATAACCGTAATATGAAAATTGGAGTATTAGGTATTACTATAGTTTTTAATATTTCTTGAGTCATACAATACGCTGTTGTTATAATAAATTAATTTTTACATCAGGTTGCATGGCAGAACGTTTGAAAGACAAAATATTAGAAAGAACCAAGTTTGTTGATGTAATCGCTGGACCAGATAGTTATAAGGATTTACCAAGACTTTTGTGTGTACCAGACAATGAAACTGCTATTAATGTAGTTTTATCTTTCGATGAAACATATGCAGATATCATGCCACTGAGACTCAACAAAGAATCCACTAGCGCGTTTGTGTAATGTTCTGTAATATGTATAAGAATTTATTTTGTAATATGTTTTTTTTACAATCATTGACTGCCATTAAATCTTTTTTTCTTCTAGCTCAATAATGCGAGGTTGTGATAATATGTGTACATATTGTATTGTTCCATTCACTCGAGGCAAAGAACGGTCACGACCAATTGACAGTATAGTTAAGGAAGTTCAATCTCTATCCGATGAGGGTGTGAAAGAAGTGGTGTTGCTTGGGCAGAATGTAAATAGTTATAGAGATGTTTCGCAACAAGAGTTTTATATGACTAATAATGCGGAAACACATTTAGCAAAAGGTTTTAAAACTGTGTACAAAAGTAAGAAAGGAGGACAAAGATTCTGTGATTTATTGGACAAGGTTTCTCGTATTAATCCCGAGATGAGGATAAGGTATTGCAGTTTTGTAATACTTCAGTTTCACAGGGTATATAATTTTAAAAAATCATTTTTAGATTCACCTCACCACATCCAAAGGATTTTCCCGATGAAGTTTTACAGTTGATAGCAGATAGACCAAATATTTGTAATGAGATTCATTTACCTGCACAATCTGGAAATTCTGTGGTTTTAGAAAGGATGAGAAGAGGATATACAAGGGAAGCATATTTGGATTTGGTACATCATATACGCGATATTATTCCAAATATACACTTGTCCAGTGATTTTATTGCTGGATTTTGTGGTGAAACTGAGGAACAGTTTCAAGATACATTGTCATTGATACAATTAGTCAGATATAACAGAGCATTCTTATTTGCATACAGCATGCGAGAGGTAATTCATAGTTATAAGGATACTGTTAATCATTGTATGATATTAATATTTATTATTACAAAAGATCTTAATACTTTTAGAAAACTACAGCTCACCGACGCTATAAAGATGATGTCGAAACAACTGTTAAAAATGAACGTCTTCAAAGAATGAATTCAATTTATAAATCTATAACAGAGGAATTAAATAAGTCTCAGATTGGTCAATTGCAACTTGTACTTGTAGAAGGGGTAATAATGAAGACAGTATTAAATAAAATTCGAAAATAATGTTAAATTTTGTTTTAGGTTAGCAAGAAATCAGATGAGTATTTCCAAGGTAGAAATGACGGCAATGTACGAGTACTGATTCCGTGTATAAACATACCTACTGAAAAATACTCTAATATTAAAAGGCCTATAAAGAGTGGTGATTATGTTGTTGTACAAATTCAAAAAGCTAATTCGCATACTTTAACAGGAACACCTGTATATCACTCCTCAATAACGGAATATTCATCGTCTGATGTATTATAAACAAAATGTAACAGTAGCTTCCAAACTTTCCAATTATTTAATCGTATTTATCACTGCAGAATACATTCAGTTTTCAAATAGAAGAAACAAATATCTACTTAATCGCGCGAAACTAAATTATCATATTTCCTACTAACGTGATAATATTGTAAATAAAACAAGCATGTACATAGTATTACACATGTATACAATAAATAGATGTAACTTAATCTAATTTCGTGATACATGGCAACCTATATGTAGATATATAACACTCTCTTTATTGTGAAAGCTACACTAATAATATTCGAAAAAAAGAAAATATACATTATAATAACAAAAAAGAGAATGATCTAACTAAGTTCTCATTTTTATCTAGTCAAGTTCTACAAAAGGTATTTTGATATTTTCGTCATACTTATAGAATTCATTTTGGACCCTTAGAATTATCAAGAACATTTTTCTTTCGAATAAATACATAATCAATACAAAATTGGAGAAAATTTTAATATTGACATTTAATTTGTTATAGTTTCTTATAGCTTAAAGATCGACTATATATTATTTACATCATAATAACGCAGTAATCATTCAATTAAAAATCATTTTGTACATCATGGCCTAACGGAATAAAGAAGATCATTTATACACAATATTTTTGTCATTACATGAACACCTGAGTAGGTATAATAAAATTATGTAAAGTCAATACGTCTTTGGAAATATGAAAATAATGATATTCGAATAAACTTTTGAACGTATTAAACGAGGCTCGCGGTTCCAATGTTAATAACAACATTGTCGGCACTGCGTTCATAGACCGTGAGATCGTGGTTCCTGGGTTGTTCCAGTAATGCTGCAAGTTGTTCTCCGCTAGGAAATTTGTTCGTTGCGGTCGGAAGGATGACGTCACATTCTAATTGCCCTGAAAGATGAAAACAATTTTTTTTGTAAAAGCATATTGTAAGTCGTAATAACAAAATTCATTAAAATTAGAGGGACTACGATTTTGCGTGTTCAACATATAATGTGAGCGTGGAAAAAAAGTAAATAAAATACGAATATGAGGAATGTTTGAAATTAGCTACACTTATTACTGATTCAGAAAAGAGTTAGACATTTAAAAATAATAATATTAATACTGTATATTCTATAATTCAAACAAAGAAAATCATTTTTACCTGATAAGGAAGGTGAAGCACCTTTGCTGGAACCGTACATGCGGGTGCTGTACCCTGAATCATTGTGAGCATCATGCAAAGGCGGTGTAGGGCTATAAACCGCATTACGGGACCTATATGGCATTCTGGCTATGCTGTCGTAATGCACGTGCTCCGATATCACTCCTTTTCCAGTTATTCCCCCGCTAAGTGCTTCCGGTTGCTCGTCCTCGTCTCCCTCGCTGCTCTCACTATCATTACCTGTGTTCGATATGATAATATTAAGAATCACCTTTTACAAATGTAAAATAACTGTGATAAATTTTACACGTTCCTGTTCATTTTTCAATTTTGAGATGCAATTTAATTCAATTTTAATTTCAATTGTTATTCTTATCTTAATTCTTATTCACATTAAACATAATAATAAGGTTTGCCAGACTTGACTATTCATACAGGCTCTCTTCTGTAATTTTTATAAAGAGTTCCTTTACACGGACAAAAGCCTTTTCATAATGTTAATACTGTAAAAATTTTAATTGTCGAAGCTAGTAGAATCATTTACATAATACACAATCAAAAGAGCATTTCTTTCGTAAATAGAAGAAGTGTTGTTCATTTTCATGTAATAAAGAAATATGATAGTCTTTTTGAACATATTGCGTAGAATTAAAACTTAGTACTATAGAATGATGATGAAGCTGTTTTTAGTAAGTAGATGTTAAATATTTACCTTCACCGTGCCAACCGTTTCCTACGCCACCCTGGGGTTGAACCCTTTGATTTTGAGAGCACTGGCTGTGCTCGGGACTCGTCGGCTCGCTGCTTCCAGAACGAGCACCTCGCCAGCCATTATGCATGCCAGGTACTTGTTGAAATCGCTTGATCATCTCATGAACGCTACGTCGCCCGGAAGACCTCCATTCGTTCAAGTTGTCGTCGCTCTTCCGCGTTGCACTGCTTTCCTCTTGACAGGAGTTAATTCCGTGATCTCGGCTCGATAGATCCTGTTAATCGAAGATTGCAACTGTCACTGAATCTCGAGCAAAATTAAAGCATATTGTACAACAAATTTTTCTTTTACCATTCAATAACACAAGAAGAGAATAATTGTTCAAAACGACATTGTTCTTTAACCCTTCACACAGCCAAATATATGAAGCACGAGAAAGTTATCCTTCCATTAAATATTGTTAATTATAAGACGAAAACGTTTAATTGATCACTTCTTATCGTTAAACACGTTTTGCTCTTTACATTTGCAGTCACATAAAGGGTTAAGCCAATTAGCGACAAAAGTTCAATGTTTAATCATAGACTACATCTTACTTACACCATAAGTACCAGCGATGTACTGTAATTTCGTACTATTAAAACGCAGGTTTATTGAAGAATAAGAAGAAAATTCGAAGTCAAACACCTCCGCTAAGGCGCAGCGTAGCTAACAAAAGAACTTCGATTACACACTCACGCGCTGCTGATGGACCTGTTGCCTGGATCCGATCGACGGCGAGGAGGCGGCCCCAAGCGGCGAGCTGCGATCCTGCTTGATCACCCCGTCGAACGTCTCGTTCAGCCTGGCCGGTGCATCGAGCACCCTCAATGTTGACCTCGAGATACCGGAACCCGTCGGCAGATCTCTCATGGATTTGCTAAGCCTAGGTATGGCCGGTATATCAAGATCGTCCAAGCTACCGCGATGTATCGGTGTCTCTCCTGGAATCTCGAAACTTCTATCGTGGGGTCTGTCGTCCAACAAATCCTCCAGTGACCTGGCCCGAGCCGGTGGAAGGGACTGATCGTTGGGGAACGACGCTTTCGCCGGCCTCTCGCTGTGCCTGCCTCTTCCACCGCGAGATAAACGCTGCTGGAGATGCGTGTGTCTCTCGTCGCACCTGGACCTTTCCGCCGCCACGCATCTGGTCAACTCCGAGATCTGCCCCCTGGTCCTCCTCTCCAGATTGGCCACCTTCAGGTCGAGTCTCTCGTGCGCCTGATCGATGTGCGCCTTCAATTCCGCTTTGTCCCGTTCCAGCTTGGCCTCCATGTGTCTGAAGAATGGCGCGCAGTAGCAGGTGTAGCCCACTCCCACTGGGCCCTTCCTGATATTGCCAGCGAGGTCCAGGTAGTACTGTTCGCCGCGTCCCAACGGATCCGGTGGTAGGGAGTCCAAACGCGGTTGGGGAAACGCTTCCGGATCGGGGTAGTAGTGGCAGCCGTACGGCGACCACTGCCTACCCATCACGGCCTTCTCGAAATGGACCTTGTTCTGTTTGCCGGACGATTTGTGCTTCTTTTTCTCCTTCTTCGTGCAACTGTCTCTGCTACCGCTGGTACCACTACCAGTCTTCTCCCGCTTCTTCTCGCTCTTGTTGCTCTTCCCGTCGACCTTGTCCGCTGCCACCGACGCCGCCACGGTCTCCTCCTCTCGGCTTTTGCTGCGCGTTCTGCTCTTGCTTCGCGCTTTACCAATTATCTCCAGTATCTCTGTCAGGTTCTTGCGCCGGGCTATGTCCTTCGCCGTTTCCCCTTGCTTGTTCCGTAAGGTACGATCGCAGCCGGCCTCCAGCAGGATCCTCGTCAGCTTTCGACGGCCCATCGCCGCCGCGATATGCAATGCTGTGTCGCCGTTCTGCGTTAAGGTTAACCGTTAATCAGACGTTTCTACGGCTCGGTCGAGTAGGTACGAATTCAAAGGTACTGCAGGAATTCGCTAAGTGGCCACTATTGACCGATGCGTTTACTTACTTTATTTTGATCCGAGACTCGGCAGAGCGCGGAGATTAGAATACGCGTGACACCGGCGTGGCCGTATCGCGCGGACGTGTGAAGGGGTGTGTCTCCATACTGCAAGAGAATTTTTGAATTAGTTTTCATAGAAAGATTCCATCGGAAGAGACATCAGTGATTTTGAAGATTTATAGAGAAACGAGCTCGATATCATTTTTGCTTCTAACGTAAGATACGCGGCTTTCGAATAGTCTCTTCTCTAATGAATTCGTTGAAAACGAGGGCATGATAAAACGACATAATTTGATCATTCTTACAATAAACATTAATGGATTTTTAACTACTAGAAGGCACGAGCGTTACAAACGAATCCTTTGTTTCCAACAATTATCACAACATGCAGATTTCTATCTATTACCACTAAAGGTCATTTCCCGAATACTTATTTCATTTGTCAATCATCTCTAGAAAACCAGATCGATTCACATGGCATCATTCTTAAAACAAGTTACCATCTTTTTCAAATCAACTATCAAAGAATGCCTCATCTATAGAAAAATTCGTCCGTTTCCATCATTCTTCACGCACAACACTCCCACACGTACACCACTTCAAAGCAGGAACCCCGGGTTCACGAGAGGCTCATATTTAATCCCATATTTAAGCAACGAACGAGACGCATCATTCGCGAGTAGGCGATAGAGGATGCACGGCTGGGCCTATTACTCACGTTGTTTTGAAGGTCAGGATTGCACCCCGCCAGGAGGAGTTCGCGGCAGCTTTGGTTGTGCCCGTTTTGGCAGGCGAGGTGAAGCGGCGCGAATCCGGCGAGATTCCTCGCGTGCAGAGGGGCACGCTGTGTCCCGAGGGCCTTCGCCAGGGCGGCCACGGTCCGGCTGTATCCGCGCCAGGATGCTTCGTGGAGTGCTGAATTTCCATGCTGAAACACGCATCGCTCGATTGATGGAACAACTTCGCTGGTACGCTCGCTCGCGCTCGTCCCGATACCGATCGATCAAAGCCGTTGATCGCTGGTCAACGTCGATCGACGTGGAATCGACGACAGAAGAAAAAAGCGGGACGTGTAAAGGAAGGATAGGGACGAACGGAGAGGTACATACTTACGTACATTGCTGCTACACGCGCAACTTTCCGGCGAATCAGATATACCAATGGAATCGGGCAAAACGACCGCGCGTCGTTAATCATGGGCCTCGCGACGCGTCGCGACGCTCACGCCGGATCTCTGGCGTGGATCAGACCGATTAATTGATTTATTTCTGCGGCTGAGACGGAATCGTGGAAACGACAAGTCGGATAGTCGCTTGGAGATAATTTGTTCGACGTGAGCCCGCGATAAGTCGTTGCTCCGCGAGTCTGTTCAATGACATACTCATTAATAGTAATCTGTATCAATTTCCGAGTGCCGTGGTTTCGTATCGAGCAGGTAACGAAATTACCAGTCATTGCTATTAGCAGAATCTGTCTTCTCGTCGACTCGCGTGGCGTCGGTGAAACGCGTTTACGAGGTACTTACGAAGTTGTCAGTGAGATAGAAGACAGTGTAAATACCATATACGAGTAACGATATATGAAATATTGTGAACCTGTTGTAGCCTTAAATTCTTAGTTTGTATGTAGTAATACATAGAGATATATCAACGTACTTTATACTTTAATCTATCTAAGTCTGTAAAATATTCGTGTATATCTAAAGGCATTTGTAAGCAACAAACACATCTTCGACGGGAGGATAAGATACATGACGATACGTGTAGTAGATTACCACGGAAAATACTAAAATGAAGGAGTTTATAGGAATCAAAGTTAAACAGCTTGACACCTAACGGACTGAATTTATGGACATACAATTGCCGAGTGAAATTATCGTTTACTATGAAACGTATTAGCCGAGGTTTCTTCTGGCCGATAGCCCCGTTCCTTTAAGAATTATATTTGCAGGCCCCTAAATATGTCAATCGCGGAGTTAAAGCGTGCACAAGAACACGTAAACGAGCGGAAGGGAAGCCGAACAAGGGGTAATGGAGATGTGAACCGCTCGAACGTAGTCGGAGATACAGCCCAGCGAAGCTTATCGTGGGCGGTTCCCTTCAGGGTGGGTAATGTCGCGCACTACATCACAAAACGTCTATTCAATTTAGATCAGGCCGGGTACGAACACGCGTAAGGGACCGTTTCGTTCGCCACTCGTTGGGATAAATGTCGCCGATATGCCATTTTGCGGATTCGTGGCCATACGACGACGCGATTTGCGTTTCTCGGTGTTCTTCCGTCAGCTATTACGACAATTTACGTCGTCATTACCTTTTTACGCCTCGGACGACTTAAATTGGATGTTATTGTCAGGCGACTGTCTGCGGCCAGTGAATTCCATTTCGCGAAAACGTATGTAGCTAGATTAGATTTTCATTAATACTATTAAGAGGTTTAAACGGCTTTATAGTATCGACGATTATAGTTTCTTGTCTGCAACAGTACCTTCGATAGTGCGGTAGAATTGAAAGAAACAGGTCTACGATCGAGGAGTGCCGGTTGAATGAAATCAGGTCTGAAATACGAAGGTGGAAGGTAGAGAGGTTTAAACAGGAAATCGTCGGGACTATCTTTATAAAACAGGACCATACAGGATGGAAATAAAAATTGGAAATTGGATTAATGCATGGTTGAATCAGTTGAATCAGATGCTTCCAAAGCTGAGAAACATGAAATAGGGTAGACCAAGGCGAATCGGACCAATTCTGACTTAGCAGCAACAAACTAATAGAATCAACAATTGCTTTCAACATTTGCTTTCATAAATTTGTTATCGATACAGGAAAATACTCGAAAATGGAGAATCATAAAATTCGGATTTTGAATTGAGGAAAGTTCAAAAATTCAAAAGATCGGATTAATCGAAGTTAGAATCGAATGCAGCGAATTGGTATCATTCAAGATTGCAAGTTCCGAATCGATTCTGAGCTGGAAGACTCCAATCGATTCCGTCCAATGTGGGTCGGCGCAAATGGAATCCATTCAAGCCTGAGAAACTCGAACTGAACCCATTTAAGTAGTAAATTACGCAGAAATGAGAGGCTCGAAGCAGACTCATCTAAGACTGATAAACGTAAATGAATCTTATTCGAGAAACCTGAATTGGATGGGAGCCATCTAGACCAGAGAGATTCGAAATAGATAGTTCTGGCGCCGAGGTACTCAATCTGAATCGAATCAAATTAAAACTGAAAGCCTTGAATAGGACTAATTTAAAATCGAGGAAGAAAGCTTGGGGATCTTCAAATCTACAAATTAAAGATTGAAGACCTTAGGATTCGAAGAGGCAAGTTTGGAGACCTCTGAATTTTAAATGAAAAGATTCAAGGATGAGATTCTCGAGTCTACTCTTGACATTTGTGTTTCCACGTTAACAACTGTTCAAGCTTTGTCACCTAGGTCTTGAACAGATTCAATTAGAAATCCTCGTTTTCCAATTGATCCAAGTCAGATTTCAAAGTCTCGTGTACATTCAATTCGAATAACTCGATACAATGTAATATATCGCCAAAATGATATCTGAATGATATTTTAAACAAATTCAAATTAACATATAAAACAGCCAGAATGAAACAGCTAAAGTGACATAGGTGAAGCATGCGTAAAGCAATTATACGAACTAATCCCAGTGTAGATCGGAACAGCTGAATTAAAAAGAAAACGGAAACACGTTCATAACCCATTAAAAAGTGAAGTAATGAGAGGTGAAATATGTTTGTAATCTAATAGGATCCGAGTGAAAAGGGAAGTAATAAATCGAAAATCATGCCTGTGGAAATATAGTCCGAGCTCGCATGATTCTCGATAGAAGGAAACTCTTAAATATGGTATCGTGTCTCGCGCGATTTGACGCGGAATGATTCGCATACCATGCTCAGGAGTATCCTGGTCTCGATTTTCTTCTGTTGCACGGATAATTTGCTCCCAGTGTCCCGCGGCGAGGGACCCAGCCCACGTATCGGTTTCGTGCAATGACGACGATGATCCCCCTCATCGCTGTATTACCTGGTGTACGGTTTTTCAAGGGCTCGCCGGGTCGCGGGGGGACCAACGAGATCCTGCTCGTCAGGGATAAATCTCACGATCGCTCGCTCGGTTTATTCGCGGTTCAGCGAATAGGTTAAAGTTGAGTCCATCGTGTCGACACGTACTGGCCGCCGACTGCACGCGAGGGAAATGCGTTCGCGTGAATTTCAGGGTGAACGATCTGTCGGTGAATATAGGCGACAGTAATTTCCCTCGGGCAGTCATGGTAATATGAATGGCTCACCTGCCAAATCGATTAACTCCAGTTTTTCAACTTTTTCAGATTTTATCGTTAAAACGCTTCGGTGGTTCTTGACTTATCATATTAAAAATCAATTTCCTTATTATTAAGCGTGATACCACGAAACAATGAAAATTCTATCGCCTATGCGAAACTTGCGGTCGTAAGAATTACTTCGGGGTTATACTATTTTATACATTTCATATATTCTCTATATTAAAGCTACACCTGTAATAACGAAGTAAAATACTTTCTATAATGATTATTTAATTTTCTATTTAAAGGGAAATATTGAGTATCATTATATAGCTGTTGCATCAGTTTTCTCCACTTGTTGTTTTATGGTGTCATTCGATTTGGCAAGTGAACCATTCATATTATAATCCTGCGTGCGACCACTGGGGCCAAATATATTGATTCCAGGGGGATTACTTAAAAATAGCGTTCGCATGGTTAATGCTGGCGTCTCGGTGCTATTAATTGCACATGAGGTGAAAGCGACTGTGAGACTTTCGAGAGGCACGGTGTCTGGATATTTTAAGATTATTAGCGGTTTGATGTTCGCACAAATGTCTAGCTTCGTTTGCCGTTTTATGGGAGCTGGAATAAATTAAGTTAGAATGAAAATTTTATTTACCGTGTAACACCGCCGTTACAAACGCAGAAAATGGTGTTCTAGTTATTTTATACGTACTTTTAATAATTACAAGTGAAGTGATTCGTACGATCGTTCATTTCAGAATATTTTGTAGCTTATATTTTCATTAATTCGTAAACACATAACCTGAAAGACCATTAAGAAGAAGATATACACGAATAATCAATGTATCAATCAAACTATTAAAACAAATTACATATTTATATGCATTGCAACATATTACATAACCGTATAACATAATTGATAAAAATATTCTTTCAGTTTTCATACAAATCATTTCACGTTACAACGATTTTCGTGGGACAAGCCCAGGAGCTCTACAGACATATAAATCTCGCCTCGATAATGTTCATCGACCGAACGGAAAGGAAGTGAGAAGAAGCATGCCCGATCCAGTGAAAAAAGAATTACACGAACCGAGGCGGCGGTTACGTGATTAACCGCGGTAGCAAAAAATGTGCGGAGCATGACAATATGCAGTAAACGTCACATTCATGGCCGTTGCTGCCGCGTATATTACACGTTTCCATTTCTCTCGGCGACGTCGTTACTTCCGCTTCCTCGTCGTTCGTTCGCCGCTATTCAATCAGGAAAATTAATTCTCCTTTTCCGTCGCCTCTATTCGGCGAAAACAGTGCACGGCCGGAGCCAGGCAATAATACTGCGACGCTGCGCGCCGGCATAATGCATTACACGTGATTTATGATATATTTATTCAGGATGTTGAACTCCGTCGTTCCCTCTATTTATCGTGGCGCGCATCTCCTTGCTTTCACTGTTCTAGGCCTCCGGTGACCCTGAACGCTGCTCAAGCCGAGTCGATAGAACGTCCCGTAGACAACCAAGATGAGTCAACTATCGCGCGCTGGCTTTTGAAGCTAGGGTGTTTCGTCGAGCAGCAAACACGTTTATTCGAGATCAGGATTCTTTCAATCCTTCTCACTCGATTTATTTTCAATGT